TATATATATTTTTTAAAGTTGCAGAGACAAAAGAGGTAAGCACAAATGAGGATTATGATTAATATGAGAATTTTTATCTCACTCTTTTTATGTATATGCACATACATGTTCCTGTGTGCATGCTTACGTGCATTCACAGGCTACAGGTTGACATTGTGTGTCTTCTCCAATTTACTCAAAACTTAAGGGTCTCTCACTGAAGCTGAAGCTCACTCATTTGGTTAGTGAATGTACTTCAGGGTCTTCCTGACTCTAACTCTCCAGTGGTAGGATTAAGGCATGTGCCACTGGTCTTAGCTTCTTACTTTGGGGCTTTGGGGCTTTGGGCACAGGGTAGAACTCAGGATCTCATGCTTACATAGTGATCACTTTACTGACTGAGCCATTTTTCCTTTTGTCAGAATTCATAATCATTAATGTTAGCACTTAATAATCTTTAAAGTGATCACTAAAATTCTATGTTTGTATGAATATATGTATGTATGTATGTGTGTGTATGTATGTATATATATGTCTGTCTGTTTTCTATGTACCCATTCACCTCAAGGATACTACATATTGTTAAAGTGGAGGAGGATGCATAAATCCCTCTTGTTGTTTCAGTTATTGTGTAAAGTAAATGTTTAAATTCACCCTAAATTACTTGGGGAAGTTACCTGATTTTGAAAAGGAAATAACTTTCTCAACATGGAGAGAATGGAAGTCTTGACCTTCACTCCTGCTTCAAACCAACTGCAGTCTTGATTTTGGTCTCTTTTTGCCAAGGTAATAGTTTTGCTGTCTCAGAATTTGCTTTGTTGAATTCATGTTTTGTTCTTGACATTTTAGTCTTTGATCAGCATGGTGGCAGGCAGGCAGGCAGGCAGGCAGGCAGGCATGGTGCTGGAACAGTAACGGAGAATTACATTCTTTTCTTTAAGATGAGTCAGAGAGGCTCACCTTAGTTTTTTCTTTGTTTGTTTTTTAAGCAGTGCTTAACACCTGCCATCTTCCCACAGAGGTAGGTCCTGGTTATCTTCCTCATTTGTTTCTCTTGGTCTCTACTGTCCTCATTAATTTCCCATTTTGATTGTCTAAACTCTCATCAAAATACATCCCAAGGCTTATCTAGCCCAAAAGCTCAAAACGCCTACATTCCTCACACAAAGGCACGTCGAAGGCCTTTGAATCACAGAGTCAGGTTTATCATAGCAGTGACCCTTGCTTTTCTTGTTAATCACTCTAATAAAATACCTAACAGAAGCAGCTTGATGTAGGGGCTTATTTGAACCCACAGCTTGAAGATGCAATCTATGATTGTAGGGAAAATACAGTGACAGAAGCAGTAGTCTATGTTGGTGGGAGCTTACCATGCATCTTGTTCACAGCTTTGTAGAAGCAGGAAGATGGATATTGCAAATTGCACATTGTCCATTGGATTTTGTCTCATTTTTTAAAATAGTGTTCAGTTTGGACAGAACCTGAGATTCAGCCTAAATAAGTACTGTAAGGTGCTATATTCAGGATTTAATATATAGTTACTCTTAGCCTTATCCCTTCTCACTAAGAAAAGTCACTTTAGTTTGTGGACAAGTAAGTGTTCATGCACAGTGTGAGCAGGTACACACACACACACACACACACACACACACACCCCTTCTGTTGCAGTGTTGAAGACAAAAACATGAGAAAGTAAGAAAAGTCAAGATTTCATATAGCAGTTTGTGAGAGAAGAGATTAACCATGGTGGTTAGGTTGGTGTGCCAAGCAGAACTTTACCAGCAGTCAGTAAATACATCTTAATGTACATCTTAACACAAGAAACTACCCAATGGTGGGAGATCATCACATACTCAGATCTGTGAAGTGAGCCCTGAAGACCCGTCATGGTAATTCTCAAAAGCAGCCAAGTCTTTGCAGCTGAAGGAACAGACTCCAGAAGAAACCAACTTAGAGGATTTGATTATTCCCTGCTAGAGAACAGAGGCGCCTCAGGGTGCTATAGGCCCAGTTGGGTGCTATTAAAACTCCTCTCACTGGAGAGAGCATGTTGTTCAGTCTCTGTCTCTTTAAGGACAAAACTGTCTAGTTATATGAACAGGGGAGGAAATACACAAGAAGCCTGGGAGTCCTTTCACTGTCTTACCATCCTCTGCCCATTCTTGAACATTGTATCTGTTACTTACACAGGTGACGTGTGTCTATTCATCATAGAGTATGGCAGAGTTGGATGTTGAATTTAGTGGCCAAAAATATTTAAGTTAACAAACAGAAATACCAAAAATGACTTGCTGACTTGATTGTCTTCTGTGGGTAGGGCATCTCTTTGTTTGAGCCCTGAGTTATAGAACTCTATCAGACCATCAGAAGGCATACCAAAATTAGTTGATGAACACTATAGACAGGAACAGGTACAGTAGTGACACAGAAGCAGAACTTTGTCCCAGATAACATGGAAGGCTTTGGTAGCCTTCCATGCATTCCCAAGTAATTCAGAAGTGAACAGAAGGTTTTATGCAGGGGAGCTCCATGGACACTCTCTGCTGCTGTTTGAGAGTGGATAAAGGCAAGTGGAGACTAGTAGAGAGCCTGGCAGTCACCAGGTGAGAGATGACAGAGGCTTCTACTGAGTGTCGGGGTGTGAATGTGCTAGTTTGAGGTGAGGGTGGAAGTGAGCATAAGCTAGGAGAGGATAGTCAGCCTTGTACACTAAGTGGCTGTCCTACTGTTTAGGAACAGCCATGTGATTCATCACCAGTGTCAAGCTGTGCTGCCCACTTATCTCTATACACTTCCATGATGGCAATCATACTTTATACTTTGTTGGAATCATCTCATTTTCAGGTTTCAAATCTAGTGTACATAAAAACCTGACTGTTTCACCTAATTCAAAGTTTCTCCTACAGCTTTTGTGGACATGGTAGGGATCACTGTGATAGAGGCTATGTCCATACCCTTCTCTATTCTACCAGGGTGGAGAAGGGGGCCTGGGGAAGATACATACAAGGTCTTGGTTCTTGTCAGACTATCTATGGCTTTTTGGCTACAAGTTTCTTGCTCTAGGTTATGTATGGCTGGACTGCAATAGCAGGAATAATATACACTTGATGTCTGACCTATGCCAGGTATTTTCCCCTGGTCTGGAGGCTAGACTGAAGGATGCTTAACTGTGCCTTCTCATTGTGCAGCACCTCTTTGTGTGGGTTCTTTGCGGATGAATGCTCCTCCTCTTATGGTAGTGACAGTGCAATTCCCTGTTCTATCTGCTAGACAGAAAGCTCTTGTGCTTTTCCACTTCAGAGTCTGATATGTGCCCGACTTTGGAGCTCTTTAGCCTTGAGGTGTCTGCTCCTTGTTCAGCAGTATCCTAAGATGGTATAAAGTTGTATGTGTATGTGTGTGTGCACACTCAACCCCTTTAGGCTTTCTCAGTACTTTGCACCTGATCAGGTTGAGGAGCACCTTAGTGTATAGGAGGTACATTTCTTATATCTGGCCCTCTCCCTTCAAGAACTTATGCCGTGCCTCAGTTCTTTTCTTTCTCGATGTTAGAATGTTGTCACAGCAGGCTGCCTTCTGCTCTGGACTCTGAGGAGTCTATTCCAGTGCTCTAACCTACTTTGTTCTAGAGTGTTCTTAGGCCTCCTTGTTGGTGGTCAGAGCAGACAGCATAGGTTCTGGGACCACTGCCACTGTTTGTCAGGCTGTTGTGGGCATATCACACCTTAGAGGTGCCTGTTGGGATCATCATATGCTGATTAGGGCACTGGAAGTCAAGATTATTTATTTGTCATCTCTCTCTCTTTCTCTCTAATAAAATCTGGCTGAGCAGTGGTGGCACATACCTTTAATCCCAACTCTTGGGAGGCAGGCAGATCTCTGTGAATTTGAGGCTAGCCTGGTCTACAAAGTGAGTTTCAGGACAACCAGGTCTACACAGAGAAACTCTTTCTCAAAAAACCATAAATAAATAAGCAAATAAATAAAATTAATTTATAGAACCTTCATCTGGTGATGGATGGAGATAGAGACAGAGACCCACACTGGAGCACTGGACTGAGCTCCCAAGGTCCCAATGAGGAGCAGAAGGAGGGAGAACATGAGCAAGGAAGTCGGGACCACGAGAGGTGCACCCACCCACTGAGACAGTGGGGCTGATCTATTGGGAGCGCACCAAGGCCAGCTGGACTGTGACTGAAAAAGCATGGGATAAAACCGGACTCTCTGAACATGGCGAACAATGAGGGCTGATGAGAAGCCAGGGACAATGGCATGGGGTTTTGATCCTACTTAATGTTCTGGCTTTGTGGGAGCCTAGCCAGTCTGGATGTTCACCTTCCTAGATATGGACGAAGGGGAGGACCTTGGACTTTCCACAGGACAGGGAACCCTGACTGCTCTTTGGACTGGAGAGGGAGGGGGAGAGGAGGAGGGGGAGGGGGAGAAGAGTGGGAGGAGGGGGAGGGAAATGGGAGGCTGGGAGGAGGCAGAAACTTGTTTTTTTTCCTTTTCTCAATTAAAAAAAAGAACTGATTATTAAAAAAAATTAATTTAAAAAAATAAAATCTATTGGATGTTTTTATGTAATAGTAAAAACCATTGGAAGTAAGAAAAACATTGATCCAGACAGAACCTGGAGTTTATTGCCTATCGAGTGTGCGGCACACTGAGGCAAGAAAATCTGGGCTGTATAACGAGCTCAAGGCCAGCCTGTGCTGCTGTGTAGTAGACTTTGTCACTTGTTAGTTCCCTTTGACTCCCCAAAAAAGTTTGCTATAGATTTCAGTGTCTGTTGTAACATTTTTTTAGTAGGCATTTTGTTTTGGAGACAGCATCTCTGTATGTAGTTTTGACTGTTCAAGAAGACCAGACTGGCCTCAAACTAGCAGATCCAACTGCCTCTAACCTCCTGAGTACTGGGATAAAGGTCATTATACCTAGTTCTATAAGGGATTTTTTAAAAAGTCAATAGACGTCTGATATCATAAACATAACTGGTCTGTTGTATTTTATTTTTAAAGCAGAGTCAAGATTTTCTTCTTCACTCATCACTTGGGAGCTCCCAGCCTGAAGCCAGTGGTGCTGGGAGGCTGGCCCTAGGCACACAGACAATGACCTCTTCAGGGCTAGGCACCACACCCTCAGATGCCTGCTCATGTGAAGCCTGCAGTGAGCGCAGGTATGTATTGAATTGGTTGTGCTGCTTATACTGGTGTGACGGGGTATCTAGGAAATAGAGGAAAGCGCCTTAGACATGGGGTTCTTTTAACAAATAACAGTACCTTTTTGGCATACCCCTGAAAGTAGGACATGGTCTTGCTATTATGAGGAAAGATATACAGAAATACAAAAATCCCTGCCTTGCGGGACTAAACAGAAGGAAGTTGGGCCTCAGAAAGAGGAAAGTGGGAGAACTCTTAGAATTTAAAGAAAAATTAACTCTTATTTCATGCCAAAATCCCAGCACTTGAGAGGCGAGGGGAATCTGTGTTCCAGTGCAGTGCAGACAGGGCTACATAGCAAGATTTTTATCTCAAGATAAAGAATATTAATTAAAAAAGGAAAATGAGTCTAAGGTGAGAATAAATAAATGGGTATGGAGGTGGTGAAACTCATGATGGAAGCTGCTAGGGGTTGAAGGAAGAAGAGGCCAGGACCTGATAAAAAAAAGCTGTACTGCTGGTCTGGGACAGCCTGACTGATAGAATCAAGTGAGCACCAAATAGTGGAAAGCAAGGGCTCTGTGTGCCATCTGGAGTCAAAGTATGGAAATGGGGTATACCTTGTGGCAAGTAGGTAGACTGCCTCTCTTAACTCTACTGGTTTCTATGTTATCACAGAGACATCTCAGCAGAGACAGACCGGGAACCGCAGCAGCTTCAAAACTATTGGTCAGAAGTACGCTACATGGTCCGATGCATATACCGCCAGGCGGGTACCCCACTGGCAGAAGACCAGGACCAGTCTCTGGTTCCCGACAAAGAAGGAGTGAAGGAGCTTGTGGATAGGTACAGGTTGCCCCTTCATGTTACAGCCCCATCCCATCCCTGCCCTCCCATCTGCCCATGGAGCCTCAGTGCTTGTCCTGAGTAAAGCTCAGTTAAACTTTTTGAGCTCTTGGTACAGCTCAGGTCTTCAGCAGACAACTGACCAGCATGAGCCTTCTGGGTAAATTGTTGCAGGTTCTTCTGTTTCTAAGTTGAGATATTTCTGTTATGTATTAAGACTGACAGTAGCATAGACAGGATTCCAGAGTCCTGGTTGTCCAGGTGATGCTGGATACTTTCATAATCACTGTTGGATTTGTAGCTCAGGCAGAAAGGCAGAGTATTCCTGTCCACTGAAGCACTATGAGATAGGATTGCTTGTGAAGGCACTTACCTTATGAGGTTCGCAGCGGCTGCCCTCATAGGGAATGGCTCCTGCCTAGCATCTGTTCTTCAGCAGGCTCCTTCCCAGGGACTGACAGAAAGTGGGGTGGGTGTCACTTTTGTTTTTCTTTACAACTTAAGTGTGCCTTTTTTTCTCCCTGATTTTTGAAATGTTCCAAATAAAGGCAATAGATATAAGCCTGATATTTCATGGATTGGTTCTCATTTTGTTTTTTTCATATGTGTTGATTGCATACTTTTGAAATCTTACAAAGCCACAGTTGCCATACATTAGATTATATCAAAGAAGCAGGGGCATTGACTGGTAAAAAGCATTGTGTTCAGGATTTCACATATTGTCTACTTAGTGCTATATGAGACAGTTCCAAGTGGTAAGTGCCTTTAAAAGTTTCCTAGTTAATGGCACATGAAACCTATGACATCTCAGACCTTTCATGCTACATCTGTGATGTTTTAGAACAGTATCAGCATCTATGAACACGTGTGAATGATTGGTTGGTTGAACTACTTGCAATGTCTTTTTCCCATAAGAAATCAGTTTGCATGAGCTGGAGAGAGATTGCTTAGTGATTAGAAGCCCTGACTGCTCTTGCAAAGGACTTGGGTTTGTTTCCTAACACTCACTTAGTGGTTCATAGCTGTCTATAACTCCAGGTCCAGGAATCTAATACCTTTTTCCTTGGGCACCAGACACACATGTGGCATATATACATGCAAGCAAAACTCAATACATATTTAAAAAAATAAACCTTATTATAAATAAAAAAAAATCTGTTCTCAAAAGTATCATTTGATTTTTCCCTTAATTTATAAGATACGAAAATGAACAAAGAATCAAAATGCTTCTAATTTTACTGCACTGAGAAAACTATAAGGAGGTGTCTGCAGGCTTCCTTTTCTAAGAGTTTGTATGTGTTTGGTATATGCACGTGAGTGTGTAGATGTGTATATGTTCAGGGAGGGCAGGGTGTCTTCTGTTGCTTTCCTTCTTGTTGCCTTGAGATAGGGCTTTTCACTGAATTAGAAGAGCCCACTGTTTTGACTGTCCTGGTCGGCCACAATGCTTTGGATAGCCACCCCTTTTCAGCTAGACTGGGTGCCAGCAAGTTCTCAGAAATTACTTGGCTCCACCTCCCAATGGTGAAGTGACAGACATGCTCAGGGACACCTGGTCTTTTACTGGGTTACTGGGCTTTGAATTCAGGTCCTGTGTTTGCAAAGCAAGTGCTCTTACCCACTAAGCCTTTTCCTCAGCCCTGTGGTATTTTGAGTTCAATTACTCCATGCTCATTTGAATCTTGTTTCACTGTCCTTTAAACATAGGGAACACATTTTCTTAAAATTATTGCCAGACTTAGTGACATATACCTTTAATCCCAGCACGGAGAAACTAAGGCAGGATTATAAATTTGAGGGTAGTCTGTGCTTTATAGCAAGTTCAAGGCTGTCTCAGCTGCATAGTAAGATCCTGTCTCCACAAAACAAAGGCTTGGGTAGCCCAGTGGTAGAGCTGTTGCATAGCATGTGAAAAACCTGGGTTTGTTCTCTAGTAATGGGGCAAAACCCCCACTATATTTTAATGTTACAAAAGTTAATACATCTTTTTGAAATGTAGCAGTCATAGTGAGAATCCTGTCATTTTATTTTCTCTGAACACATTGTATCCATGGCTCTTCATATTTATCACCTTGTACATTGTACACGAGGGTTTACCCATTACCTTGCAGATTGTATACATAGCTTTACATCCTACCTTGCACAGTTTTGCTTGACTCTTTATCTTTTACAACTTAAGTGATATGTAACCTTAGGGAACAGGAGGGAATGAAGAGGTGGCTTAACAGTTAAGAGTGCTTGCTGCTGTTGTAGGGGACCTAGGTTTGTTTCCCAGAACCTACATGACAGCTCATAACTGCCTATATCTCTCAATCTGAATCCAGGAGGAAACAGTGCCCTTTTCTGGTTACCCTTGGCTCTGGCATGCACAAGGTGCACATAAACTCAGGCACACATACATACTCATATAAAAATAATAAATACACCTATTTATTTATTTGTTTATCTATTTATTTATTTATTTTGGCTTTTCGGAACAGGGTCTCTATAGCTTTGGAGCCTGTCCTGGAACTAGCTCTTGTAGACCAGGCTGGCCTCAAACTCACAGAGATCTGCCTGCCTCTCCTTCCCGAGTGCTGAGATTAAAGGTGTGAGCCACCATCGTCTAGCTTAATTTTTTTTATTTACTGTTTTATTTTATTTTGAGACAAGATTTCATCACGTATGTCTAGCCTGGAAATTGCTGTGTAAACCGGGCTTGTCTTGAACTTGTCAGACCTTCTTGCCTCAAGTACTGGGATTAAAAATGGTCCACAACACCTAATTTTTTTTTTCATGGAACAGATAGCAACTATGCTTTTCTCTTTAGATTTAATGTGGCAGCCAAAGATGGAAGAATTTGTTGTTTAAAACTTACTTAATATATTCTACAACAGCCACAGAGCTCAGCTGGTTCTTCATAGTGACATGTTCCAGTAGATGTTTTGGTTATTGCTTCAGTGGTCCTAGGCTTCCATCCAAAACAGTGGTTCTCAACCTTTCCAAAGCTGAGACCCTTCAATATAGTTCCTCATGTTATGGTGACTCCCCCATAAATTTATTTTTGTTGCTGCTTCATAACTGTAATTTTGTTACTTTTATGAATCATAGTATAAATATCTGTGTTTTCTAATGGTCTTAGGTGACCCCTGTGAAAGAGTCATTTGACACCCCAAAGAGGTCACTAGCCACAGGTTAAGAACCACTAATCTAGAGGCGTCTCAGAAATGTACCTTTGAAAGGAGCAGCAACTTTAACCATAGTAATGACAAATACTATAGAGCAAGTTTTAAAAATTGCATCACCTTGTTGCGTGATCCTATAATCCAGCATTAGGAGGCTGAGGAAGAAAGGTCATTTTTCTCAAAACTGTAAAAAGTATCACCTGTAAGTTTGGACAGAAATTCATTACCACTGTGACTAGTTAACAAGGATGCATTTCTTTGCTTTGTTGGTAATCTAAAAATAGAATGACCTTTGTTTAAAACGTGTTCTAATTGTAAAAATAACACGAGCTCATTTGTATGGTATACTGAGTTCATAGAAAGAAGAAAGGTAAACCTGACCCCATCCTCCAAACAGGTGTCACATCTGCTAGGACTGCAGCATGTCACTTTTTAAGTTCCACTCATTGTGTTGGCACCTGAGGCCAGCTCTCAGACACAGTAGAAGGGAGGCTTTTTACCTCTTGGTTGTAAGTTATAATACCTTAGGCTTAGGTCTTCTCTCGTGGACATGAAGTGAAGCAGAGTCCCTTATATAGGTTGCATAAACAGTGCAGTCAAAGGAAGCATTTGGGGGATGTCAGTTTTCCTTGAATTACCTTGTACTCCTACAGGTCATCACAAGAAAGGTGTTTAATAAAAGACACTCACTGACTTTTATAAAAACTGTCAGCTGACATGTGTAGACAATCATGGCTGAGTAGTGACTTTTTCTTTGTCTCTGTAGGCTCTGTGAGCGGGATCCCTATCAGCTCTACCAGCGGTTGGAGCAGCAAGCCCGGGAATATGTGCTAGAAATGAAGGTCCGCCTTCTCCGGCAGCTATCTGCTGCAGCGAAAGCCAAGGCACCATCTGGCCTGCAGGGCCCACCACAGGCACACCACTTTGTGTCTCTACTCTTGGAAGAGTATGGTGCCCTCTGCCAGGCTGCACGATCCATCAGTACATTTCTTGGCACTCTGGTGAGAGACCATGCCCGCTTCTTTCTTTGCTGTTGAGGTGAACTAAAGAACAAAATCATGTGATAGGGGAGGTGTATGCAGCCAGGGGACTGATTGTACGGTTAAGTTCTCCTTGCACGGTCATATACTCCTTTCCGCACAAGGTAGAAAGGGATTAATCTTAGCGCAATGGATTTTGCTGGCAGGTAGAAGCATTAAGAGAATTAATGTCCAGGAGCCACAGCATGGAAATCTTTTAGGGAAGACCTAAGCACTAGGAAGTGAGGTATTAGGATATGGAGGTGAAAACCATGGTGCATTAATAGGAAGTCCAAAACATTTTTGTTGTCTTGTGTTGGTGTTGATGTACTGCCACTGACTGGTGTTGCAGTTGATGCAAGGCACATGTAAAGACCTCTTGCTTGAATTTCTTCATGTGTGCAGCTAGCAGCAGTGCAGGAATGGGATGGGTTTACTGAAGCTGCCTTGCCTTTTCCTTACAGGGTTCTCACAGTTCTAGCAGGGCACATAAGTGAATCTCTGACCACCCCATTTCTGGGTGGACAGAAAGAGGCATCCTAGTGACAACCACAGAAGCTCCCTAGGCTGCTTCCCCGACCCATCAAGTGTGGTCCCTCCCCATCTCCCCCATAGTCTTCAAGTCTTCATCATTATTTCATCTGATTATTAAGTGACAATTCAGTGGGTGGGTTTTAATGCTTTCTTAGTGGTGGCCATGTTTTGAAGGAAAAGTTACAGTAACCATTGGTTCTTTATCTGGTTCTGATGTTAATGGGGCTCTCCAGAAAGGTTCATGTAATACTTGACAAGACATTGCAACAGCCTCAGACTATCCAGTTTCCCTGCCACAGTCTAACACTGTGCCAGGTAAGTACTTCCAAGAAGAGGCTTGTGAGACACATGTTTAGAGAAAATTGAGTGAGATGAGTAAGGCAAGCTGGACGTGAGGACCCTGGTAGTGGCAGTGTCCTGTGCACTCTCTTGTACATCTTGTACCTTTCAGCCCTCCTCTACCTCAACTTAGGACTCTGCCTATTCTAGACTTGGTTCAGAGCTGCTGCTCTAGAGAATCATGTACCTGCCCATATCCCTAGAGAGTACCAGCTATTGTTTTTTGTTTTTTTTTTTTAAGACCACATACTCTCCAGAAAGTGTTGTTGATATCCAGCCCTCCTCAGATGACTCCATCTTACAAAGTTAATAGAGTTTAACTTGAGCTTTTTGGTAGAATGATGGCCTAGTATCTACAAGGCTGGGTATCCCTAGACCTTCAAAAGTAGAACTTGGGGCAAATAAAGTAACACACCAAAATTAACCATTGCCAAAATCTTTGCATTTCAGTGTACTTCATTCAGAATAGAAGTATAACTTCATGTTTGATATTATACTTTTACTATCAAATATATCTTCATGCACTTACATACCACCAAAACTGAAAAATCCGTGACAGTTAAAACTTTTTTTTTTTTAAAAATTTCTTTCATAACTCATAGTCATTACCTTTATTCAGTACTTTCTCATCTCTTAGTAGTCTTTCTTACTCTTTTCTTCATGGTTTACTGTACCTATATGCACATTTGTTTATGTATATACATATATTGTTGGCTAGATTCTGCATATGAGAGAGAACATGTAGCCCTTTTCTTTCTTAATACGTATTTTAAGCCCATCCATTTTTTTGCAGATTGTTACTACTTTTTTTTCATAGCTAAATACTATGCAGTTATACATACATACATGCCAAATTTCATCGTCCAGTCATCTGTTGGTGGACTAAAATTAGGTTGATAGTAATTCTTTGCTGTAGAGAATGAAGCAGTAATGAATGTGGGAGCACAAATATTTCGATGGTAGGATATGAAATTCTCTGGGGATATGCCCAGAAGTGAAATAGCTGTGAAATAATTATTAACTTAGAATATAGAAATATTTTCTTGTTGTTTGACCACAGTTAAAACTTGAAAGAACAGCATGCAGCTGTGTGATCATGTTTTACATGTAAGAATATTCCTTTTGATAATACATGGCATAGACTACATACTCTGCAATATTTGTCCTCCAAGGGAAAAGCAGATAAGTTTAGAAATTTATATAAAAGAAGATCAAAGTTTTTAAAGATACAGCTAAGAAGGCATAAAAGGGAAGAGAGTACCTACTCCAAAACTTGAATCCTGACAACACCTGTTTGCAAGTTAACATTGACCCCAGGCATTTCTTCTGATCCTGGAATAGATAAAAGTGGGTCTCCATTTAATCCAGAGTGGCGTCAGTTAGCTTATAATGTCGGGCCCATAAGCGACTATCACCTGAGTACTAGAAGGAAAGCAAGAGCTATGCTTATCATGAGCCTAAATTTTTGTGATACACCTAAGAAGCTGGAAGTCACTTTTCAGTGGTCCAAGCTGTGTATAGGTAATATCTCCCCTCATATGAGATGTTTGCTGGTCCTTCTTTGTTTTTAAATGTAGGGTGTTCTGCCTCATGTATGTCTGTGCACCATCTTCATGTTTGGTCCAGGGTGGGGCACTGGCTCCCCTGTGACTGGAGTTATTAATTGAACTGCCATATGGGTGCTGAGAATCAAACTCAGGTCCTCTGGAAGAGCAGCCAGTTCTCTTACTTGTTGAGCCTTCACTCCAGCCCCCGTTTATTTGTTTGTTTTAAAATCAGAAAGTAAAGGTTGAAGACAATACCCCTGAGTGCAAGCAGAGATAACAAGCGACACACTGAAGATAGTGAATTTATAAAGTAACTGTGATTATTGTGTCTAAGGAAATAAAATATATTTAAATTTATGGATCAAGAATTAATATGATCACAAAGGATCATCTAGGTTTGACAGAAAATAAACTCAGAAACACTTAATCACACGTACACACATTCTAATAAACTCAGGAACACATAATCTCTCTCACTCTTTCACATATGCACAAATATACCACCTTTAATCCCAGAATTTAGAATGCAGAGACTTTATAAGTTAGATGCCAGCAGAGGTACATAATGAAGCCTTATCTCAAACAAAGGAAGGTCTGGGGATGTAGCTCAGTATAATGGGCTTGTTCAGCATATTCAAGGTCTAGAGTTAAATCTTTGGTAGTACAGAAGCAATGAGAAAGGAGACAAATAATAATAAAAATTAATTAATAAACCCCCCCAAATAGTCAGAGATCGAAAAGAGAATTAGTAAATTAAAAAGAAGTAAAGGAGCCCTGAGCTTTGTGTATGTGCCTCAAAAGGACACAGAAGTGGGGCACATCAGAGCAACATGGAAGATGTAGTGAGGAGCCTCTCACACTACTGACATTTCTAGGAAAAACTAGACTGAGAATACATGCAAAGGCTAAAACATCAGCGAGCAATCCACTCCAGAGGAGCTAGAGAGCACTGATGGGCTTTGGTAGCACTGCTGTGGGCTCCCAGCATGTCTTCAATAGCACTTGATAAGTTTGCTCCTGTTTTTTAGGAAATCAAAGCTCTTTCCTTGCCAGAGCGTTGCCAGTGAAGAATTTATTTGCAACTATCAGAATGAGCTTTGACAAAGACAGGCAAGAAAAACATTGTTCTGACTCAAATAATTTTTTTTTCTTTTTAAAAATGTTTTACATATTTGTGTGTTCATGCTTGTGTAGTCAAGGGGACAAATTGTAGGAATGATTCTCACCATGCGTGTTCCAGAGTTCGAACTTAGTTCATCAGGGTAGCACCCAGGCACTGTTACCAGCTGTGCCATCTTGACAGTCCTAGGTTTTAGGGTCCTTCCACCCCCTGTTCCATTTTCCTTTCTGAGCCCACCTACAACCCTTTTCTAGAGTTGGGGTAGGTAGGGGTTACCTAGAATGTACTAAGGTGGCAACCCATATTGCTGAAATTAGAGATTTGGTTTGATATGTTTTGACACAAGCAGGGAACGGTGACTCTTTACAAACAAGATATTGTAGGTCTGTGCAAAAGGTGGTAGAGCAGGGGGCATTCTTCAAGGAAGCTTTATATTTCCATCCACTCACTGCATCTTTTGTTACCTTTTTTTTTTTTCTTTTAAACTAGGAAAATGAACATTTGAAAAAGTTCCAGGTGACATGGGAACTGCATAACAAACACCTCTTTGAAAATCTGGTCTTCTCAGAGCCACTTCTCCAGAGCAACTTGCCAGCACTGGTGTCTCAGATCAGGTATTTTGTCTTGCCTTGGATTCTCTTTTCCTATGATCTTGTGTGTGTGTTCATGCCTGTAGACCACTATACATGGAAGTCCTTACAGGAAAAATAACAGGGCATAGAGAAAAAGATAGTTAGATAGAAAGCTCTAAACCTAAGATATAATACTTTTATATGTAATTTATATTTTATGTGTATGAGTGTTTTGTCTACATGAATGTCTGTGCATCACATGCTACAGTGCCTAAGGAGGCCAGAAGAGGGCATTGAGTTCTGGAACTGGAGTCACAGACAGTTGTAAGCTGCCATGTTGGTGATGGAGCCCAAACTCAGGTCTTCTCGAAGAGCAGCCTGCTGAGCCATCTCTTCAGCCCCCAGTTAAACTTTTATTTATTTATTTATTTTTGATTTTTCGAGACAGGGTTTCTCCGTAGCTTTTGGTTCCTGTCCTGGAACTAGCTCTTGTAGACCAGGCTGGCCTCGAACTCACAGAGATCCGCCTGCCTCTGCCTCCCGAGTGCTGGGATTAAAGGCGTGTGCCACCATCGCCCGGCTCCAGTTAAACTTTTTTTTTTAAATATTTTATTTATTTATTTATTTATTATGTATACAATATTCTGTCTGTATGCCTGAAGGCCAGAAGAGGGCGCCAGACCCCCTTACAGATGGTTGTGAGCCACCATGTGGTTGCTGGGAATTGAACTCAGGACCTTTGGAAGAGCAGGCAATGCTCTTAACCACTGAGCCATCTCTCCAGCCCTCCAGTTAAACTTTTAAATGATAAACCAGTGTAAATGCTATTCAGATGTAACACCATAATGCCTCCTCATAAAATAAATAAAAGCTCCTGCAAGCAGTGCTTGACCTTGACAGGTCTTGGTTCAGCCAGGGATCCTGTCAGGGTTCTTGCATTGTGGTGAAGGGAGGTGAAAGAGGAGGAAGAACGTGGGATTCAGAGTACCTTTGACTCCTAGGCTTAGATGTGCTTTTCCATGTTTGTAGAGTGCCTATGTCACTTTTCACCAAGATAACTGGTGGGTGATTCTCTGCTGTCACCAAGATAAGTGCACAAGAGCAGAACTCTCTAATGGACATTTGTTGGGGTGAAGTATGCTAAATAGAGGCATACAGTATGGGCATATGTTTGTTCTCCAGCCAGCCCCTCCTTCATCAGTCATTACTTAGTAGAGCTGAGTAGCTACCTCAGGATCATCTCTTCTTGATTTTGTTTCTTGTCTGTTAACCAAATAGAAGCATAGGCCCACAGCGTAAGCACACACTAATAGTAGCCACTTTTATTTGTCCTATTCAACCTTACTTTTAGAGAAAGACCACCTCAGAAGTAGTTGGTCAGCTCAAGGTGCTATGCAAACCTGGTATGCTTTTTGCAGATTTTTACCAGTTTCACTCAGACTTGATTTGCTTCCCAGCCATTCTTTCCGTGCCCACTCTTTTTTTTTTTTTTTTTTTTTTTGGGTTTTTCGAGACAGGGTTTCTCCGTAGCTTTTGGTTCCTGTCCTGGAACTAGCTCTTGTAGACCAGGCTGGCCTCGAACTCACAGAGATCCACCTGCCTCTGCCTCCCGGGTGCTGGGATTAAAGGCGTGTGCCATCACCACCCGGCCCATGCCCACTCTTAAAAAGCATTCAATACAGGACAATCAAGATGTTTCAGTGGGTAAAGGCACTTGCCACCATGCCTTAATGACCTGAGTTTGATTTCCAGAACTCACAGGGTGAAAAGAAAGAAGACTCCTACATGTTTGTCCTTTGATTTTCATGTGCTACCTATGGCACATGCACATGTGTTCACACCCATGCCTGTATACACACACACACACACACACACACACACAATCTAAAAAGTCAATAGCATCCAGATATTCTTAGAGAGTACACTACAATGGGACTATCTGACTGCAACTCTGGTGGAAGGAAAGGAAGCCAAACTTAACATGAAGAATGTTTTTGTCCAAGTTGTGAGGTTCCCTTGAATTCAATCATGCCTCCCTTGTGGCTAGAACAAGCCTCAGTACCTGCCCTTTGTTTCTTTTCCTGGTGAATATTGGATTTGACGCATCTGTCATCCAGTTATTTCCAGAGGCTGACAGAAACCATTTCTTTTCTGGGCACAAGTTTCAAATATTTTTATTTCTCACTGGGAATTACAGTCAGATTTCAAAGATGAACAGTATCCTAGTTTTAAATGTTCACTTTGGGGTTCACTCCCTCTTTCTCTAAGAGGAAATGAGGTTCAGGAAAGAGGGAAAGCAGCGTGCCCTCTAAGGAGACCTAGTCATTCCAGAAAATGCTGTCCTTTAAAAGGTGTGTCCCACCACACACTCACTTGTCAACCCCCAAAATGGTTTATACTTGAATTTCTAATGTATAAATATACATTTAATAACTCACATTTTTTTTTCACAAATTACTAATGAAATACGTACTTATGTAGGCCTACTTAGCTTGTAGAAAAATTATGGAGTGGGCCAGACCTGGTGGCTCATACCTGTAATCTCAGTACTTGGAAGGCAAAAGTAACTGGATCTTTGCGAATTCAAGGACAATCAGCCAGGGCTGTGTAGAGAGTCCCTGTCTCAAAATGGGGAGGGACAAATAGTTAATAATGTATAATACGGATATGAATTGTGCGAACACAAATGTAGCTTAATAGATTATGAGACAACAAACAGGCTATGGTCAATACTTAAGTTTATTTAATGTATCTTTTTGTATTACTTTGTTAACATACATTATTTTAGATGCCAGTCTGATCTGCATAAGGAATTTCAGGGCAGTCAGAGTTTTTATGGTAATACGTGTCACAAAAATATACAGCAAATGAGGGTGTGAGGGTGTTAGTGGATAAGCTTGAGGACCTGAATTTGATACCCTAGCACCCACATAAAAGTCTGCTATAACCTCCATTATTGAGTAGGAGACAAGTGAATTCTGTGTTTGCTGACCAATCGGTGTAACTGAAATTGTTGAACTCCAGGTTCAGTGAGAGATCTTATCTCAAACCAAAAAGACAGAAGTAACAGACTAAGACAGCAGGTCTCCTACTCTTCTGCCCTATTCAGCAAATGGTCTGACATACACAAAATAAGTAAACAGTCTGCTTAAAGGTTATCATTATTCATAGAAACTTAGTTCTTTCTGTTAGCTTGCTAACACTGACAGAATTATAAACTGCTGCAGGTATCAACTTCTAAAGAGGAAGGTTTATTTTGGCTCATAGTCCATCACAGAAGTTCTTGGCAAAGCAAAGCTGCTCACCTTGTGGAACTGCCAAACAGAGAAAGGATTCAGGAATAAAGTACATCAAGTTTCCACCAGTTCCTGATATGTAGCCCAGTAAACTCTGAACCCATATGTAGATTAGTCCGTTGGTGAAGTCAGAGCCCACATGATCCAGCCACCCCCAAAAGCCCTATGCTCTAGGAACTAAGTCTTCAACACAAGAACCTTTGGGAGATATTTCATATCCAAATCATAACATTTAAAAACAAAACGTGAGAAAGCTACTTGTTTTATTGGCCATTTTATTGGGACTATTTATATACCGTGTAATTTGTCCATTTAAAATTACAATTCAGTACCATTTTATTTAGTTTAAAAATTTTCTGATTAATACAAGTTTCACTATTTTATGTTTTAAAAACATTAATTTTATTCACAGTATTTGTAGCTAACGATGTATTTTAAAAAAATATTTTTCATGTCCCCAAACAGAAGTTCTCTGTTCCCCTTATCCTCTGAGAGTCTTTTTCTCTGAGTTCAACTGCTGTCTTGCCCTATTTTCCTGGCATCTTACCAATTAAAGAATCAGGCTGTTTGTCCTATAGAGGTGCTATGGGAATGCTCTAGCCATCTCCGTCCATCACCAGTGCTATCTGCAGGGTTCCTGTCGGTCCCACTCTTTGATTCAGATAGTGTTTGTAACTTGGAACAGCTAGAAATGGAGAAAGAACACTTGGGAAGAAAGGCAGGATAGAAGTTTATGGTATCTTAGTTACTTATTTGTTGCTGTGATAAAACACTACAACTAAGGCAACTTATAGAAGGAAGAGATTATTTGGGTTTAGAGTTCCAGAGACATAAGAATTCACAGTGGTGGGAAAGCACAGCAGCAGAAACAGGAAGCTGAGAACTTGCATCTCAACCATGATATAAAGCAGAGAGAGCAAACTAGAAGTGGAATGAGACTTTCAGTCTCAAAGCCTATCGGTCCCCACTAACATACTTCCTCAAGTAAAGCTGCACTGTCTAAACCTTTCTAAACAGCACCACCAACTAGAGACCAAGTGTTCAGATTATGGGGACAGTTCTCATTTAAACCACATGTGGGAATTGGTGTTTTGTTTGTTTGTTTGTTTAGTAGTTTTTGAAACAAAGTTTCTCCATGTATCCTGGCTGTCCTTGGACTCACCCTGTAGACCAGGCTGTCTTTGAGCTCAGAGATCTACCTTACCTGACTCTGTTTCCTGAGTGCTGGAATTAAAGGCATATAGGTTTTATATTGAAAACTGGAATCAGTTCAATGAAGGACAAGGCTGGCAGCAGTAGGAATCAGGAGAAAACCTATTTCAGGGCTGCAACATAAAACTGTTCTTGGGACCTTAGGTGGTGCCAGGCATTGGTGCAGAGCCTAGATGGACACCTGTGCAGGTGACCTTGCAACCAGTAGATTTTCTGTGAGTCCCGTTTTTACAGTGTTCACAAATGTGGTACACCCTGACAAAGAAAGTAAAAGGAAAAGATTTTGGCAATGACTTCTGTCTATTTCTACCTATGAAAATCTTTTAATTAAAAGTGACTTTGTTATTTCTTTTTATTATTAAACCACTGAGGGGGTGTCATGGTAGAAGAGATGGCTCAGTGGTTAAGAGTGCTGACTACTCTTCCATGGGATCCGGATTCAATTCCCAATACCCACGCCACGACTTACAACTGTTTGTAACTCCAGTTCCAGGTGACCCGACACTCTCACACAGACATACATGCAGGCAAAACACCCATGCACATAAAATAAAAAAAAAAATTACAAGAAGAAAAACCCACTAGGTTATTGCAGATAAAATTATGAAGTGGTAGGCACTGTAAACAGCTTTGTGTTTGTTACACATATTTTTCTTTTCTTTTTCCAATTAAATAATAAATGTTTTATTTCTCCAATGACTTTTAAAATGTGAACATTCTGAGATTTAGCCACAGGCTTTACTTCCAAGTAACTTCTTCATTGGGCCTCAGTTCCCTCCGATATAGCATACTCTTATTCCGGAAGGCAGTTAGCTTTTCGTCATTCCTCCTGTCTAGATAGCATCCAAAGACAAATCCCATAGGAACAAGTATATGAACCTAGTGTTCACATACAAGCTGAATCAAGGTCATCGTGGCTGCTGCAGCCAGTGCCGAGCACGACCCACGACCAAGGGCAGCGGTAGGGAGCTGCCACATATTTTTTCTTTTGTTAATGTGCAACATATTTTTATTAAACATGCTTCAGTCATACCTTTCCTTGACATGAATGTATTTTCACTTCAAAACATGCATTTTTTTTAATTGTAACATTTCTATGTTTTATATTTGTCATTAAACATTTTGTTTTTTTCTGGGTCATTGTATGTTAATAAGAAATGTGTATACAGCTCCATGTTATACCTTTTTAGAATTCTTGTTAGTTTCTTTTCGGGCGCTATCACTTCTCTGTGCAACTCCTTTATATGTGGTTCTGTTCAGAGTGCTTTGTGTATATAATCTTTTAAGCCCAGGAAGCAGCTTTGCTGTGTGGTTTTGTAAAAAGGGATGATAAAGATAAACAATAGCAACAGGGAGTAAGGTTCTTTTGTCTGGCCAGGAGCTTCTGGGCTCTTCCTTTGTGATAGGTCTTTTCTCTCCTAGGCTGGGAACCACCACGCATGACACTTGCAATGAAGACACGTACAGCACCTTGCTGCAGAGGTACCAGCGTTCTGAGGAAGAATTGCGCAAAGTTGCTGAAGAGTGGCTGGAGTGTCAGAAGAGGATTGATGCCTATGTGGATGAACAGGTAATCATTGCTCCCAAGGCACAGCCTGCACTCTGAGGCTTTTGTGCCAAGTTGCTAGCTACAGTTTGAGTTGCTGAGCTCCCAACATAGGCCTTTGGTGTACCCTGGTAGAAACCTTGCAATATCACTGACCTCTGACCTGGGTGTTGTATGGCAGGAGCAATTAGATCTTCAGAAAGGTTGTATCTACTATCTCTGTCCTAATGAAGGACATTAGGAAGTTACCAGGTGTTTTGGGCCCAGAAGCCATTTATCAATCATGGTTCTGTTGAGAGCTCATTCTTTTTTCATCCAGAACTGCCAAACAGAGCAGACATAAGGGCAGAGGATAGCAGGACAAGTGGGATGTGTCTGTTGGAGATGGCTCTAAAGGGACTGTGTCAAGTGACCACTACATCTCAGAGGAGACACCAGGCATGTTGTTAAGATGGTATTTCTGCCATTCATCCTGGCCCCCTGCCTTTGTAGGCCTTCTGGTTAAACAGAACAAAAAAGGCTTTAGGTTTTAAAGATTATTTTAAAGGTGCTGGTATGAGGAGAAAAAGAAAAAAGGAAAGGTAGAAAGAAATGGCAGCCCAGTGTTGTGCATGCAAGATAATTTGTAAACAGACATGATAGCTATTTTGGGTTGAGATATAAGCTGGTTCGACATGAATTCCAAGATCATTGTGCCATTCATATAGTGATTGAGCCCTTATTCCTTTCCCTGTTTGCTTCTGAGTGGTTAAGAAGGGGGTTCTTTTTCAGAATTTGAGAAAACTCTCCCTGTTTACTGACTTTGGCCCTCATGGTATCAGTGCACTAGTTCCACTTTTGTCACTGTATGAGATTCACTGCTGCTGAGCTTGTCTTGGGGCCAGAGGCCCTGAGAGACCTGTGGTTTTGCTGTGCTGTGTCCTTTGCTTCTGTCTGCATAGTCATTGCCTGTCCAATGTCCTCCCTGCTATTTGAGACTGCTGACCCTTCTGGGGAAGCAGTTGTTGCTCTCTACTTTCTTTAGAGTGGGTGTGGCCCTAAGTTATCTTTTCTGTTTGGTTTTAATAGACAGATTACTCTCCAGCTGTGCCAGGAACAAGTCTGTTCTTGAGCTGAATAATGGATTACAGTTTTGGGGGACTGACTATAACAGGTTAATTAACTGCAGGGTCTACCAGTGGATTGGGGGAGGGAGGCACATGAGAATGGCCAGGCTGACAGGCATATTAAATGTGGGGCCTCAGCTGCAGCTGTCCTACAGCCTCAAGAATCAGGTCCTGACCCTATAGGTAGCTGGCAACCCCAGAAAAGGGGCAAGCAACTGTCCTCCCTTTGAGCCCTGTATGCATGCCAGTCTGCTTTCTGAGCCCTGCTATTCAGGCAGCAGAGAGATCTGGGTCCAGGAATGGGAGGAGCCAGAGTGGAGGATAACTCTTCCTTGAGAACCTGCCTCCTAAGATCCTGTGAAGGAACCTGACAGTTAACTCCGGGGTCAGCTTCTTACCATAACAATGAGAGAGTCACATAAATGATATTTAGTTTTACATGAGTTTTTCTATTTTATACAAAATCATAAAGTTTGTTTTCCTTTTAAATATGTAGATTTGAAAAGGCAGACTGCTGACAATGTGAACTCTGTAGAGAACATCCATGACATCAGAACATGACTGCTTAGTTGAAGTTATTAAAGTTGGGGAGAAGCAGTGAGGGTTTGAGCCATGAGTACTCTGAAACAATGAGGCAAAAAGACGTTGCTCAGTTTCCAATCTCTGAGAGAGAATACAACAAGTTTGTCATTTGTTTGTAAGGGGTCTTACTCTATAGTCTGTGCAAGCCTCGGACTTGTGATCTTCTTGCCTTTGCCTCCTGAGTACTGGTTAATAGCCCATGTGCCACCACACCTGACTTGAATCACCAGCTTTTTTTAGAGGAAGATTCCTTGACTTGTGCTGTGTTCTTATGGTGGCACAGCACATGGCTGAAGGTCATGATGGAGGATGTCCTTAAGACTCCAGGAAACAGAGAGGAAGGCTCTTGGGTCCTAATATGCTCTTCAAGGTTATACTCCAGTAACCTAGTTTCCACTGGGAGCTACCTCCTAAAGGTTTCCTTTACCTTCCAATGGTACTAAATGCTAAGGAACAAGCCTTTGGCATGTGAACCTCGTGTGGACAGTCAAGAACTAGACTGTAGGTGGCTAGAGAGATGGCTCAGTAATTGATAGCACTGGCTGCTTTTTCAGAGGACCCAGATTCGATTCCCCTACCCACATGGCAGCCTATAGTCGTCTGTATACAACTCTAGTACCAGGCAATCCAACACATTCTTCTTGCATCTCTGGGCATCAGGCATGCACATGGCATACAGCAATACATGCTGGCAAAACACTCATACACATAAAATAATAAATCATTAAAAAAGAAAGAAGCCGGGCAGTAGTGGTGCACACTTTTAATCCCAGTACTCGGGAAGCAAAGGTAGGTGGATCTTTGTGAGTTTGAGACCAGCCTGATCTACAGAGTGAGTGCCAGGTCAGGCTCCAAAGTTACACAGAGAAACCCTGTCTCAAAAAAAAATAAAAAACCAAAAGAAAAGAAAGAGGGAGGGAGGGAAGAAGAAAGGAGAAAGAAAGAAAGAAAGAGAGAGAGAAGAACCAAACCAAAGCACCAAACACCAGTCCGTGCCTGGCTAACTCTTGTCATCATGGTGAAAGATACATAGAAGGGGATGAGAAGCTGGAGAGCCACAAAGTGCCACTGCATTGAGAGCAATTGTAGGAGAGTTTGCTTCTGTCCCCAGGGAAGATTTGTTAAGTCAGCTAAGGTTATAGGATGACTCGTGTCTCCTGTAAAGGGCTATCACTTAACACTAATCTGGGTTTGCTACTGGACACAATAGTATGAGGAATCCAGTGTTATGTAGGCACTCTATACTTCACCTAAACATGTGCACCACCTAGAACTTTCTGTAGTGGGGATAGTAAACTTTCTATGATGACAGCTGGTAACAAAGCCCATACAACAGTAGCTAGTGTCTGCTTTGGTCCCCACAGTCTTGCTGGCAATCTTAGCATTGACTGAGAAGCTGCTGCTCTTGGGGGTTTGGGAGAGAGGGGTATGAGCTGGGGTATATATGCCTTAGTTCTTGGAATAGAGAATGTGCCTAAGTGGATTGGCAGACATTTGTGTGTTCCTTGATTAGTCTATTTCAGATTTTCTTCTGAATCCTCAAGTTGCTTTGCATATATTTCATTTTTTAATTTTCTAATTTATTTTATGTTATTATTGGAATTACACATAGATAAAGGTTAATAATAGAGTTAGTGTTCTCAGAAGTAGGAAGGTCATGTATATGGGTAGAACAGACCAGCTCCAGGAGTCCTCAACCAGGCTTGTCTGTCAGGTGCCTGAGAGCAAGCACTTACTTCCCTCAGCACAGGAAATGTACCCTGCTCTCTGAGGTTGTTTTCCATGTGAGAAAAGTACTTGTGGTATTATGAGTGTCAAGCAAGAGGCTGAAATAAAATAGCTGGTGACTCATTCTTTTATATTGCACCTCTGTTTTGTTCATAGGTAATCTTTCTTGTCTATACATTTCTTTAAAATCATTTAAAAGAATCTTCCTTAAGAATGTTTTGTGTAGTTGTTACTAAGGTTTTTTTATATATTTTTTTATATCTTCTTTCTAGATGACAATGAAAACCAAACAGCGCATGTTAACAGAAGACTGGGAGATTTTTAAGCAAAGGAGATTAATTGAAGAACAGGTAAGGTTGTTGAACAGGCAAATTACTGCACAGAAAAGTGACACCTTAATATGTAAGCATGCTCTGTGTTACAAGATACCAGTGAAGACCATTGACAGTTCCTGCCGGTATTAAAGTCATTATACAAAGTTATTTTAACTTTTAGATAAACTGACTGCATTTACTTGTTTCTTGGTCTTCCATATACTTGCTTGAAAAGAATAATCTTGGTGGGAGTTGGTGAAAAATGGTACAAAGACCATACTCCCTGAACTCCCCCTTCCCCTTTGCACCAATTAGCCAATTGTGTCAGATTGAAGTTGAGCTCCCACCAGTGGGATGAAACAGAGGCCCTTTTACCTGAATGTGCTGATAGGCTTGATTAAGTTCTGGCACACACTTCCCCTTTGAAATCCATATTCCTGATTATTGGTGCTACTACCTAGATATCTCTTGGGTCCAGTCTACTCCACATATGAGTCTCAATTTCTGGTGTCTTAACAAGTCCTGAGTATCTAGAGCAGACTGAGTAAACTTTGTGTCTACAACAGTTCTACCTTATGGCTATCTGCAAAAATGCATATGGTATATGTCTTCTGGAGACCAGAACATTAAAAGGTTTCTGATGTTTCACTCTTGATTTGACTGACCCTGCCTGCATACTCCAAGGCTGTCCTGTTCTTTTGTTTTTTTCCATCTGCAAAAGGTGGGCCTCTTGGGTTATAAATGAGCATGATTACTGTCATAGTTGAAATGTGGTGCAGGAAATGGGGGGAGTATCTTGCAAATTTAAGCTGTTGTTTGATAATTTCTTCTAGTTAACTAATAAGAAAGTAGTTACTGGTGAGAACAACTTCACGGATACCAGGAGACACATGTTGTCATCATCTCGGTTGAGCATGCCAGACTGCCCTAACTGCAACTACAGGCGAAGGTGAGCTAGGCTCTCTAGGTGCTATTGACCTTCAGCCCACACTGAAACAAGCAGAGGTTTGAACCCAACTTTGAGAGTTGGCTTTCTTGGTAACTGTCCTTAATTCCCGATCAGATGTGCTTGTGATGACTGCAGCCTCTCACACATCCTCACTTGTGGTATCATGGACCCCCCCGTCACTGATGACATCCACATTCACCAGCTACCACTCCAAGTGGATTCTGCTCCCGACTATCTCTCTGAGATGCGCCCACCTAGTGTGTCATCAGCAAGCTCAGGGTCAGGTTCCAGCTCTCCCATCACAATTCAGCAACATCCCAGACTCATCCTCACAGACAATGGCTCTGCACCAACTTTGTAAGTTGTGACTTTATGATAGAGTTTCAGAAATTTATCCAGTAATGATAAATACATACATCAGAAATATGATCACCATTATAGTGCTTTTTATAAAAAAGAAAAAAAAGGATCTTTCAGTGTGTTAAGCACCTGTTAAAACATGAAATCAATAAACCCAAACTATTTTATTACCTGAAAAAATATGGTGAATTTATAATTACCAGTTGGTATGCAGGGAAATGTCTCACAGTTCTGGTCTCATTTTCTCATTCTTCCTGAGGTGGACAGTGGCTGTTCATCCTCTTCATTGTCAGCTCAGTGTTCATGCTTGTTCCATGTCTTGCTAAGAACTCAGATCACTTTAGCAAGCAATTGAAAGTTTGTGTTTTCTGTATTCCTACATTATAAGAAGTACATTTAATACTAGCAAGGGGCTGTAAACTCAGTAGTGACCCTGTCATTTGCAGAGGCTTCATAAGTTTATTTGCCCATGGGTATATACAATTTCTTTCTTTTTTTTCTTTTTTTTTTTTCTTTTTTTTTTTTGGTTTATTTGTTTGGATGGATTGTTGGTTGGTTTTTTTGAGATAGAATTTCCTCTAAGTAATCCTGGCTGTCCTAGAACTCACTCTGTAGACCAGACTAACCTCAAACTCAGAGATCCACCTGCCTCTGCTTCCTGAGTATTGGGATTAAAGTCATGTGCCACCACACCTGGCATTTTCTTTTTCATTTCTGTGTTTCTCTGTCTCTCTCATTCTTTTTTTTTTCCTTTTTTTTTTTTTTGAGACAGTTTTATTATGTAGCTCTGACTATCCTGGAGCTCTCTATGTAAACCAGACTGGCCTCACACTCTGAGATCCACCTGCCTCTACCTCCTCAGTCCTGGAATTAAAGGGCATATGCCACCCCAGTGGGCTTTATGTTGTTTCTTAAGTAAAGTAAGTTGAACATGAAACCATCATAGCCCTGCCTGCAGAAGTGCTATTTTGAGGGATTGTTGACTATATCTGGCTGCACGTGATCCTCAGAGTCTTCGAACTGATAGAAATGTTCATCATATACTTCATTTGAATTTGTCATGCTGGTGCTCATTTTTTTTCTTCCTTTGATGTTTATCCTTGTCTTCCAGGTCTCAGTGAATTAATTTTATTGTTGCTAGGGGACTAGAACTCAGGACCTTATATGAACTCTGTATCACTGAGTCTTATCCCAACCCCAAATACATTCTAAAGGCCTGAGCTGAAGCCCATAGTTTATTCTTCATTGAACAAAGTTCTGCTGATTATGCTCTCAGGTCTTAAGCATTTTGAAGATTTCTTTGCTAGCTGTTATACAGTTTCTAACCAGGCATATGGAAGTTTAACATGCAGGTGAATCTGTGGAAAATTGAAGTTAGGGAATTGCAATTAACTTTATCAAACTGTCCCACTTATTGTCATAATTGCCATTATCAATAGTAGGCTCTGATGTGTGATCATTAGTAGAACATCAGCTACAGGAGCCTTTTACCTGAACTGGAACTGCCCTCATGTTGGTCTGGGCAACTCGTGTCTTCCAATACTCAAGGCCCTAACAACTTGTGATTAGTGTCTTCCAACCTGTGTGTGATTGAAAATCCTTGTGACGTAGCTATCTTGGTGCTGTTTTCTAAACTGATGAATCAGCAACATCATTTCAGTCATTGCAGTACAGTGCAGTGTGGGTCTTACTGAGGCAGAGAAGCCTCCACTTGTCATGTACGTGCTAAGGATGAGTTGGCCACTTTATTTCAGAACCAGTTTTCCCATGGTACACCATGGCAGTGGGAACACTGCAGGAACACTGTTAGCCAAGACACACACACTCCCTTGGTGGTGGGTGCTTTTTTCTTCTGTTGGTGAGCTTCAGATATTGGTGAAGTGTATTAGGTTCCTCGTTTTGAAAATAGAAAGTACCCAGGAGGCAGAGGCAGTTGGATCTCTATAAGGTCAACACCTGGTCTACATAGTGAGTTCCAGGATAGCCAGGGTTATATAGAAAGACCCTGTCTTAAAACAAAAGAGAGAGTACCATGTGCTTTTTAATTCTGGACCTTTTCTTAGGAGGCAGAGCACTGATCCTTCGGATTTTTACCTTCTTAGAGATCATTGTGTCAAGATAGAGCACAGATTGGCGCAAGTTTTAGCTAATACTGGGGTGGGCATGTCTGGTCATCCCTAATCTACAGTAGCTCTTCTCTTATATTAGGAAGTTATATTTTAAAGTGATCTCCATAGGCTAAATCCAGAAGATTTTCTTAAGTTCTGGTTTTTTTTTTTTTTTGTTGTTGTTGTTTTTTTTCAGTGAGCATGTCATTTTCTCATTGCATAGATGAAGTTGATTTTCAAAACTGACTTGAGTATAGCTAACTTAATTATCATGTTGTTACATAACCGTGCTTGGGAGATTTGGTCAGCTGGATATTATCTAACAATTTGGTGATTGTAAAAGACCTGTGGTTACTTTTTGTATCTTAACATTTTCATGAAAATGATGTCTACTTGGGGGTGGCACTTTTACTCCAGGGCTTTTCAGGCCAAATGAAAATGTATTACCAATTCATCTTGGTCACACCAGCGTTTCTACTGTGGGACATTTTTTCCCATCATTCTCCAAGTCACAGATGTTACTCATCCAGGCTTTTCTTTGTGTTCAGGTGACTAAGAGGTGTTAAGTAGTGTGAGTGACACTGAACACTCTTCGTGAACAGACCCATGACCTTAGAGGAGATGTCGTGTTCAGTGGGGGGTGCTCCTCACTGTCCTCCCCAAACGAAGGGCCTCATGGTGACCGTCTCTGCTTGCCTCAGTTGTAGTGATGATGAAGACGTCGCACCATTGTCAGCTAAGTTTGCTGACATTTATCCGTTGACTAACTACGATGATACCAATGTGGTGGCCAACATGAATGGAATCCACAGCGAACTGAATGGTGGTGGGGAAAACATGGCCCTGAAAGATGAGGTATGGGTGTAGCTTTTTTATGAGGAGGTGTGGGTGTCAGTAAATGCCAGATGTGGTGGTCTTACATTTCATTTACATTACTATTGTTTTGAAAAATAAAGCTACAGAATGCTGCCTTTTAAGTCCCCTCAGGTAAGCAGCACCAGCCATAGTTCTTCAGAAGCTGATGATGAAGATGCTGATGGTGAAAGTAGTGGTGAGCCCCCAGGAGCACCCAAAGAAGATGAGGCTCTAGGAAATGGTAGCCCAAGGGCAGACGAGAGTAAAGTAGACACTCCACCTCCATCCTACCCAGCGCAGCAGGTAAGATCTTCTGTTTATGTTTTCTGTTTCTTCCTTTGTGTATTTCCTGTAAATAGAAGCAAATTATGCCAATTCCAGCAATTCCTGAAATTAGAACTATAGAGAAACAAGTTTACTTATAAATTATATACAACTCATATTTTAGTCTCTTTTTGCTATTGCTCAGATCTATAATTGTCATTAGTTTTATAACACTCTGTGCTTAGAGACAGGTTTTTGCTTTTCTTCCTTTTTCTTTCTTTCCTTTTGTCTGTAAAAGAAAGATGGGTTTTATTGTTTGTGTTGGAGATAGTTCTCACTCTTGGTTGACCTTGAACCCATGATCCTTCTACCTAAACTCAAATGCTGGGGTGTATGTTCTCACACCCAGCTTCAGAGTTTTATTAGTTCAGTAAGAGTTTTTTAAATGAAAGGAAGAACAAGTGGAGGCCAGGCGCTTGGCTAATTAATAATTGTAATGAGTAATGTATGTGATTAAAATAATAAAGGTGATATCAAAAGGAGTAAATTGGGAAGTCTTGGCATCATCGTCCCCCATTTTGTGTCCCATCACCTGTGTACCTTCAGCCCTTATGCCCAGGAGATAACTGGTTTCATTATGTGCAAATGCAAACATTTATTCTTTCCTGTCTTGTGAGAAAGGCTATGTTGCTTTTTACTTAACGTGTCTCTGAAGGATGTGATTCTATATGTTTTTTATTTTTGTAACTTTAATTTTTAAAAGTTATTTTCATTATTTTTAATTACATGTATTTTTATGGGCATGTGCACATGAGTGACCAGGAAAGCCAGTGGTGTCTGATCCCCTTGGAGCTAGAGTTACAGGTAGTTGTGAGTCAATGGATATGGGTGTGAGGAACTGAACTCAGGTCCTCTATTAAGACAAGTACATGAACTGATCTCAGGCCTTGTTTTTTATGTTTGATTTTTTTGTTTGTTTGTATGACTATTATTGTATTTTAGTTTGCTTTAGATTTTGTTTGTTTAAGACAAAGTACCATACCATGTAGCTAAGTCTAGCCTTTTATAAACTCCTGATCATGTTGCCTCCCAAATGCTGGAATTACAGGTGTGGACACCATGCCTGGTTATAAATAATTTAGAATCTTGAGGAAAGTCTGAGAAATTATAAGAGTTTGAATTCTAGGCCTCACCCATGGTAGGCAAGCTCCCTACCACTGAGCTGTATCCTCATTTAGCCCTGTCCTTCCTTTTCCCACCCTCTGTAGTACCATGGGCTGAAACTAAGGTCTCATCACTCTGATTCCACTGACTTCGCTCTGTTCTGCTCTGGAGGTGGTGGGGTTTTTGTCTTTTTTTAACTCTATTGGCCAGCACTTGTGTTGTTTCTCCCTTTTGACCATTTATTCAGTTTATCTAACACCCTGTTTATTGCCAGATCAGTTCTATGGAACACATCTGCATATGAATTGAACTCAGGATTTCTGGAAGAGCAGCCAGTGCTCTTAACCTCTGAGCTGTCTATCCAGCCCCCCAAGGTTTTTGTTTCAGTGCATTCTAGTTCTGTTGTTTTTTTGTTTGTTTGTTTTGTTTTAAACAAAGTGGTTTTCTTCTAGATTTATAATTTTACTTCTGACTGATACTGTGATCTGTTTGACTCAGTATTTCTTGTTTTGCTTTGTTTTAGACAGGGTTTCTCTGTGTAACCCTGGCTGTCCTAAAACTCTCTCTATAGAACTGTCTGGCCTTGTACTCAGAAATACACCTGCCTCTATCTCCCAAGTGCTAGAACTAAACATGTGCACCACCACTGCCTCGTGACTCAATATTTCTTATGGTGTAAGGTTAGACTTAGAACCTTTTTTTTTGGAAAGATCATATTTTCCCATATTAAAAATTCAGGCCTACATTCCATTCTGTTTATTGGTCTTTATGTTGGTCTCTACCCCACAGCTCACTTGACTGTTGACTCTATGGTAAGTTTGAAATACAATAAGGCCTATCCTCTAGTCTGGTAATGTGTGTCTTCTAAAGACAACTTACAGAAGATAGAGTTTATTGTTCAGAGGGTGAGTCCATGACCATTATGGTGGAGAGCATGGCAGCAGGCAGCCAGGCATGGTGCTGGAGCAATAGCTGAGAACTTAATACCTTAATCCCTAAGCATCAGGCACAGTGAGATAGAAGAGGGAGAAAGCTAGCTGGTATTGATTTGAGCTTTTGAAACTTCAAAGACTACCCCCAGTGACACACCTCCTCCAACAAGGCCACAACCCCTAGTCCTTTCTGGATAGTTTCACTAACTGGGGACTAAGCATTTAAATATATGAGCCTATGGAGGCCACTCTCATTCAGTCCACCAGTGTGCTTCTTTATAAGTAGCCATCTTTCCACAGTAGCTTTAGATGGATGAAGAAAGGATGAGGATAGAGCCCCTAATACCACCTTCATGGAGGTTAGATTTGCAGTATATAGATTATCAATGGTTCTTTCCAGTTCTGCTAGTTTTTGATACATTTTATACAAGGTTAATTTCTTTTGTTTACTGGGATTCTCAGATTCTTTTTTCTGTCATCTTCAGTTTGTTTTAGGATTTATCTTTTTTTTTCTCTTTATGTTGAATTTTTGTTTTAACATTATCCTTAATTCTCTGAACAAGCTGTTCTTCCTGCTTAGACATCATTGTTTGTCAGTCTGATGTGTGGACCAAGAACTGTTGTCCAATGACTGTAAGAGAGGCAATACTTTCATGTCCCCATTGCGTGGTCCTAAATAATCACACAGAGACTTACATTAATTACAAACTGTTTGGCCTATACTTATTACTAACTAGCTTATTACTAACTATTACTAGCTAGCTCTTACATCTAAATTAACCCATTTCTGCTAATCTATGTATTGCCAAGTCTTTTAACAAAGGCATGTTATTTCTTGGGCACTGCTTACATCTCTCTCTCTCACACACACACACCCATCTGAGTCTTCAGTTTAATTGTTCTGCCTAACCCTATCCTGCCTGGCTGTTGGTCAAACAGTTTTTATTACTAGCCAATTGGAACAATACATATTTACAGTGTGCAGAAACATCTGACTGTCCTTTTCTGGCATGTCTCATATTTTTTTGTAGAAAACTGATTGGTTTAGATAATATTTATTATATATAATAACTTTATAGTCTGACTTTCTCGTTGGGATTGCTGTCACCCCCCAGGGGGTGTGCTTTTTATTTTCCATGATCATTACTTTATTGCTGTTAAATGCCTGCATCTACATCACTCACATTGTGAGAGAGCCGCTGCTGTCTGCTTTTTGTTTTGTTTCATTTGTTACTTTTTGGTTTTTTTTGTTTGTTTGTTTTTTGTTTTTGTTTGTGTTTGTTTGTTTTGTTTTTTGAAACAGGGTTTCCCTGTGTGAACAGTCCTAACTCTCGTGGAACTCTCTTTGTACACCAGGCTGACCTCGAACTCACAGATACGTAGGTCTGTGTCTCCAGAGTGCTGGGATTAAAGATGTGTGCCCATGCCCTGCTGCCCCTTTCTGCTTTTAGCCTGGCTGCTTGCTTTATTGGGTCAATCCTTGCTGCCTTATCTCTTCTGAAGGTTCCTCTGTGTTCCAGCACATCTGTGTGTAGATTAGGGAACAGTTCCCTTGCTCAGCTTGTACTCCAGTGAACTTTGGTGGTTTCTTCCTTTGTATGCTTCCTTTGAAGGTCGTGACTATGTGTAAACTGTGGCTTCCTAGTCAACCACTGAGCTTTGGATAATTTAAGGAGTATTTCACAGCCATTTCACTTTTAAAGTTTCCCCAGTCTGTTTCTCTCTCTCATTCACTGTCCATTCCCACTGAGTCTACTGAATGAGAAAAGGACTAAAAAGGAAGAACATTGCTGCTCTTAGATATGAGGGAGGTTTATTATAGCTATGAGAGAGAGTATAGCCAGAGGCAGGGACTTCTGGGAGAGTGGGTATGACCCTGATCAGGGTCATGTGAGGAGAATGGGGAAGGGAGAAAGGAGAGCCAGAAGAGTAAAAGGTAGCCTAAATGGCCCAGCAACCAAAATGGATGGATTATCTAGGGAAGTGTAACTGTGAGAAGAGTATGTTAGCTGTACCCTCTAACAGGTAGGGAGAGACTAAAGGATTCTGGGAGAACATGCTAACCAAGTCTGTGTCGATAAGTTAAATAGGCACCTTAGTTAGGCTCTTTGTCCCAGGTTTGAGACCTGACATCTACTTTATTTGACTCAGCTCACTGGACACTGAGCTGTTCTCCTTGGTAGCAAGGCTTCTTTACTCATATTTCCTGTATGCTGCTCCCTGCACTAGAGCTAGATCAAGAGAAGGCTCTGACAGAAAGTCCAGATTCTTCCTGTTCTTCCCTGAAGTTCTGGGTATCTTTAAATAAAGACTTCAAGGTCCCAGTGTATGACTATGGCTTAATTCTAGAGTCTGAAGTGTTATCTTTGTTACCTGTTTTCAATTTCACATTTGCTTTGATAAGGAAGTTTCACTAGTCTCTTCCTTCTGCCCCAGCTAGCATGCAATCTCCCCTTCTTGGTGGAAGTTTCATTGCAGCTGTTGATTGAAAAGTAGGAGCCCAGCAGAGTCCAGCCACCCAGTGATCCTGTTGTCTTTGGTTCCAGTTCCCTCCTGGCTTTATCCTTCTAATATCTTTATGGAAATCCTTGTTGCTGCTCAGTTGAGTCCCTGGTCAGTGACTTCTGTCTCTGTAAATACCCTTCTGGAAAATGAGGCTGAGCTCTGCAGCCTTCCTTGCTTTCATCTGTGGCATTTGTACTTTTTCATGTGGGGGGCTCTAGTTAGCCCAGACTGAGTCCTTAATCTTTATGTTTGCTCTGTAGTTCTCACTGACTGTAGCTTAATTCATGTACTTCTTTTTCTGTTGTTTTAGGCGGAACAAACTCCGAACACTTGTGAATGCCATGTTTGTAAACAAGAAGCTTCTGGGCTACCAGCATCAGCAATGACTGCTGGAGCCCTGCCTCCTGGCCATCAGTTCCTGAGCCCAGAGAAGCCAACACACCCTGCGCTGCACCTGTACCCCCACATCCACGGACATGTACCCTTGCACACTGTTCCACACCTGCCTCGACCGCTCATCCACCCCACTTTGTATACAGCACCCCCCTTCACACACAGTAAGGTAAGCCAGTTAGGAAAGGCCTTGAAGTCTCTCATGACTTGAATTCTGACAAGAGCACATACTTCAGCAAACAGGAGTGGGTATGCTGACCCATGCGGCTGCTCCTGATGCACTGCAGACATTTGCTTTGGCTATAGTCTCTAAAGTTCTTGTAATGTTGAACCTTTGCAGTGTATAGGAATACAAAAAAAAAAAAAAATCAGGATTTAGTCACTAGAATTAGAGCGTTTTCTGGGGATGTTGCTAACAGATTGAACTCCAGGATACTTGACAATAAATAGTCCATTTTTCTACCCCGGACCTGACTTTTGCCTTAACATAATAGATAAAGTGAGTTGAAAATAGCTTGAATCCTCTGATGTTTTCTGGCTTGCAAACTAGGACCTTATCAATTACGCAAGCCTGAAGAAAAGCCCTGTGTGAAACACAGAGAAATCGTATTATCTGTGAATATGGAAATATAGCTGTAGGGCAAAGAAGAGGTTCCTCAAAACCCAACCTGCAAAGAGCTCACTTAGGAAAAGCAGCAAAAGTCTAGAAGTGGTCAACTTTTAAGTGTCTCCTTAAAGAACCACATGTATATACGTAGTATCTTAGACTTTGAAATAAATTTAGAGAAATTGGCCTGAAATCCTATGTTGACCAGGCAGCCTTGAACATGCAATGATCCTTCTGCCTCTACATCTCTAGTACTAGGATTATAGGTATGCACCATCCCTAGCTAGTTTACTTTTTAGGCTTCTTTGGCTCTTGAGCTGCTTTGCACTTGCCTTGTTGACCATCCATAATGCTGAAATTTTGTTATGTTAGTTATGTTATGGTTCCAAGTTAGTGCCAATCAAGCAAAAATATTATTAGTTTATTTAACACAGTGATGCTCAAGTGGGACAAAAAGTGGGGCCATGACATGGGAAGGGCTTGGTCCTCTGGGGTCACGCTATGGTACGTTATGGTACGTTATGAGTGGCTAGTAAATGGGTTCCTTGTGTGTTTGCTGGGGAGAGGCACAGGTGGTAGATTAATATCACACTTACAGAAGAATAAGGTTTAAGTTTAGTTTTTATAAGTACTCAGAATCACCCATTTTGAAAATGTAGCAATATCTTTATTAACAAATGTCTTCGAAGCATTTTCAAGTATGTCGTCAAAGCCCACACTATGTTTGGGGGGTTTGTGGTTTTATATCCTCCTTTCATCTGGGTGAATGAATGTATAAGGTGCTGCCCACTTATTTTTTTTTTTCTAAATAGAACTTTTACCTAATTCTGGAAAAAAAGAAAGATTAAAGAATGTCCATTGTATATTTTTTATTTGTTTATTTATTTTTGGTTTTTCGAGACAGGGTTTCTCTGTAGCTTTGGAGCCTGTCCTGGAACTAGCTCTTGTAGACCAGGCTGGCCTCGAACTCCCAGAGATCCGCCTGCCTCTGCCTCCCGAGTGCTGGGATTAAAGGAGTGCGCCACCACCACCCGGCATTGTATATTTTTTGTTATTGAAAGTATTAATTAATTGTTCCCCAAGTTCACTGGGAACACTCTTCTCAACTGTTTACAAGTTACCTTCCTTACTTTGTCTCCCCTCCCACCTTCATTTATATATGGGTATTTTGTCCTCGTGTGTGTGCGTGTGCGTGTGTGTACACCATATGCATGCAGTACCCATTGAAGTCAGAAGTTACAGATAAACGTATAAATGTTTTGCCTGCAGGGGTATCTGTGCCCCACCTGTATGCCTTGGAGGCTAGTAGAAGTTATTGGATCCCTTAGAACTGGAGTTTATAGATGTTTGTGAGCCAGGATGTGGGTTTTGGAATTCAAACCCAGATCCTCTGGAAGAACAGCCAGTTCTTAACCACTGAGCCATCTCTCCAGCACACCTAACCTTTTTAAAGATTTATTTTTATTTTTTGTGTGTGAATATTTTGCCTGTACATGTCTGTGTGTGCCTGATGTCCATGGAGGTTAGAAGAGGGCATTGAATCCGTTGAAGTGGAGTTTAAGTGAGCTACTATGTGGGTGTTTAGAACTGAAGCAGATCTGTGTGCCATCTCTCCAGCCTCTTTTTTAAGACTGGCCTTTTTTTTTTTTTTTTTAAGAAAGTTAGAGGTCTCATAAAAGGGTAAAAGAAGAAAAGAAAAGCATTTTTAGTACCATTTCTGTATCTGATACCTTTTCCTTTGACCCTGTTAAACTTAAGATCATAGGTAAATGCAAAACATTCATGTGTAGGAAGGCAAATAGAGAGGACTAGCCACACATGGTTATGATCATATAGAAACTTTCAAATTTGTAATTAAGCCACACTTCAACCACATTACTTCTTGATATCGTGACTAGACGCTGATAAACATTTTAGTTTTATTTTACTTTATTTTATGTGTATCTGGTGCCTGCAGAGACCAGAAGGTAGTGCTGGATCCTCTGGAACTTGAGTTACAGGCAGCTGAAAGCTGCCATGTAGGTGCTGGAATTCAAACTAGGATCCTCTGGAAGAGCAGCCAGTGCTCTTAACCACTCAACCATCTTTCCAGCCCCACAATGATCCATTTGAAATATACCTGTTGAAGGCCTTTTTTATCGTGGAAAATAAGATGCTATTGATAGGCTTGTAGTTATAACTCAGTGGTAGTGTTTCCTGCCATTCAGGACACTCTGATTCCCAGTATGGAGGGGAAAGTATGCAGTTTATGAAATACTTCGTGTATATCTGGTGTAAAAACATTGGTTTCTCTAAACAAGCTTGTATTTTCTCTTACCAAGCCTTGCAGAATTGGTTTGTATTATTTGAGTTAGGCAGACTTACTAGAGTGTTCTGGCTATGACTGTTTAAATATACAGTATGTTAACAGCTCCACAAAGTTAGTAGAAGGACCTTCTAGAAACACAAGTTATTCTAGAATGGCCCAGGCTTGTCTTCAGTTCCCTTGGAGGTTTCTTGGAAGTGCTAAATGTGGTGTCTTAGTATAACCAAGAGTCAAAGAATAGGCGCTGTGTGTGGAAGTCAGCCATACTCACTGAGGCTCCTGGGTCAACCTGTGTCTCTGTCCTTTGCTACCTTGTTTGGAGTTTCTGCTATGGTGGAGTCACAGTTGTTGCTTATAAGATTTAATGTCATGGTTTTAATTTTTGTTTTACTTGATACTCTGACCATTGAGGATAAATATTTTTTTCATAGAATGTTCAGGATGAATTCTGTGAAGATTTAATTTCCTTGAGATTAAAAAAAATACTGATTTGTATACTAGTGATACATTTATTTTTAATATAGATATATAAAAGGTAAAAGAAAAGACAAAAAAATAACTGCAGTGAAATATTAGAGAATAAAATATAGAGCTCTTGCCTAACTTCAGTTCAGTTGCCAGCACACAAAAATAAATAAGTTAATAAATAAATAAGATTGCATTGTGGTCTAGAGTTCTAGGCACTGAACTATACCTTCCAGGCCTGGTCACTGCTCTTGAACTTAAAAAAGTGTAGGTGGGGGACTGGAGAAATGGCTCAGCAGTTAGGAGTACTGGATGCTTCTCTAGAGGACCTGGGTTCAATTCCCAGCACCCACATGGCAGCTCACTACTGTCTGTAACTCCAGTTCCAGGGGATCCATGACACCAGGGATGCATATGGTGCACATAGATATGCATTCAGGCAAAATACCCATATCCATAAATTAAATAAATAAATCTTTTTAATAAAGGAGTGTAGGTGGATCAGAAGTGAATGTTCACTAGGTGTAAATGGCACACAACTTTAATCTCAGCAGAGACAGTTGGACTTCTGTGAGTTTGAAGTCAGGCTGGTCTATATAGTGAGCTCTAGGACAGCCAGGACTTCAAGAGAGACCCTATCAAAAAACCAAGAGGCAAATGTTCCCTGTGAGCAAGGGAAGATTGTTTGTTCTGTGTTGGGTAATCTGTAGAAGGTATTGTATCCATTTGCTGCTATTTGTTTCATCCTTCTTTCTGATTTTTGGCCTTCTTGATCTGTCCATTTTTAATAATAGGAATTGGAGACTCCAACTATGGTAGAAGGTTCTTTTATTTTCTCTTTGCAGTCTTCTCTATTTTTGCTTCACATACTGGTATACTTCGTTGTTATAGGTTCATGTATGCCTTTCTTTTATTTTTGGTGTTTTTACTTGATCTGAAACCTGTTCTTTAGAGACTAGTACAGTGCCTCCAGTTTTTTATTTAATGTTTTTCTTCATCTCTTTTTTCTTTCTGTTGGTAAAATATGCATGACATAAAATCTACCCTTCTAACTACTTCTAAGGCTTCAGTCAAACTTCTAAGGCTTTAGTCAGTGGAATCAGAGGCATTCCTAACATCATGCAACTGGTATTGCCATTTGTGGTTGTAACTCTTCATCTTGTAAAGGTGGAGCTTTTTTACTTATGAAGCAATAACTCACCTCCACCCACCATTTGGAATCACCATTCTGCTTTCCGTTTCTATAGCTGATTACTCCAAGTTCTTCATTAATTGGAACTATGCAGTAATTCTGTTTTCTTGAGTGGCCTATTTCACTTAGTTTGATATCCTTAAGTTCCATTCACATAGTATATTATAGAATTTCCTTTCTTGAGTGATAATTTCATGTATGTATATACCACACTTTCTGGGTTGTTTCTACTATTTGGCTATTGGGACAAACATTTCTGAACATAGATTAACAAGAATTTCTTTAAGACTATCTTCTTTTGGCTCTTCTAAACATACAATGTTAATTGTTGTATTGTATGATATCTATACTGTCATAATGGTTTCCACCTAGACTGCCACTTTGCAGGCTTTACCTTTCTATCTGTGGTGCACAAGAATTCTTTCTCCTAGCTGGGTAGTGATGGCGCACGCCCTTAATCCTAATACTCAAGAGGCAGAGGCAGGTGGATCTCTGTTGAGTTTTAAGCCAGCCTGGTCTACAGAGTGTGTTCCAGGACTGGTTCCTTAGCTACTGGGAAACCCTGTATGGGGTGGGGGGAGAAAAGAATTATTTCTCCAC